TGAGTTTTTTTTTTCAGAAAAAACAATGAGTGATAACAATAATAATGATGAAAATCTTTTCACGAAAGGCACCACAGAAAAAGTTTAAGTCACAGATAGGTAATGCTAGGAACTTGAGACAGCAAGGTCACTTTTTGATTACAGGGGTCAGTGCCCAGACTGCGGAAAGGAAACAGGAAAAAACTTGTATAGGCATCTTTTTTACCAGCATTCTTATACAAAGGAAGAAATTGAGCAGCTGAAGAAGGTGAAACGACGACGAATACTTGCGGAGAGGAACACAGAATCAGATGAGCACAGAGGAGCGCAGAACAGCACAGAGGATCAGAGAATCAGGGGAAAAATCCATTGCACAATCTGCAAAAAACCACTGAATGTGGGTCTTCAATTTTCTGCGCGTTGCATATTGAGCTACTCATTCTTAGGACCACCGTCAATATGTGTTTCATGTTAATGAAGCACATAACGCTGATAATAAACAGTTTTGTGTGGAAGAAATCAGATTCGAAAAAATGTCAGATTTTCAGGTAGTGTCGCCATACAGGGCAAATTTGGTGATTTATTAACGTGCGAATGAGAACTGCTTGATGTCTCAATTATTTCGTTTTCAGGAGTGGAAACACCGCATAGAAGAGAAATGCGTGATTCGATGGGCCGTTCACTCCAAGAAGACTTCAGCGGGACGTCCGGTTACCTACTTTAGGTGCAGCAGGGCGGAACCTGGTCCGTCATACGTCGAAAAGTGCACGAACACTAAGAAAGTTGTCGAATACTGCACTGCTTTCATGAAGGTATTTGATATTTTTCTGTTTCATTCAAAATGTTGTGATATTCAGATGACTGTGCAAGAAGATGAATCAGTTTTTGTCGAATTTTGTCGAAGTCATTGCGGTCACGACGTGAGCGCAGCCCTTCTGAATTTGGACGCAACGTCAGAATCTTACATAGCATCACTTTTGAAAGAAGGATTGACATTCAAGCAGATTCTCAGAAAAATCAGGACAAGCTGCAGAGAAGCGAATAATTTTAACACACGCATTTACTACACCACTTCTCGCGATATCAGGTCAGCATCCGTTACTAGGTGGAATAAGTGGAATGTCTAGAAACTTTTTTTTAGACGGATTGCCATAAAGGAGAAAATCGATCCCTCACGCAAACACAGCATAGATACAATTTCTTTGGAAATGCGTATCGAGCAAGCCAATGTAGACGATGGAATCAGACGTTATGCTCCAGCTGTAAATGCAAGCGGTGACGGCTTCATTCTCGGTAAGTCTCCATATCCCGAGCAGACAGTGAATGTGATACCATTTTCTAGTGATTATTACACCAGTCCAACTATGTTGGTTGAAAAAGTACGCCGCTCGCGCCATTTGTATAGACGATACCTTTAACTTGACACCATATGCCCTACGTCTCGCTTCCATAGTTCTACCGGACGAATGGGATATGGGGGTGCCAGCGGCCTTCTTGCTGTCTCACAGGTCAGCACATCCATATCGATATATAGCCGGCGTTACTACGACCATTCAGAATGACGGAAAAAGAAATAAGCATTTTGTTCGAGGAAATAGCCAAATTACTGCCTAATTTCGAAACGAAGTTTTTTATGTCGGACGACACAAACACTTTTTACAATGGCTTTACCCAAATCTTTCCTCGCTCAAATGCAAAAAAGCTGTTATGCACATGGCATGTGGTACAGGCCATAAAAAGGCACTGTAAGAACTTAATACAGGTAGGAGGTAAAGTAAAACCCAGACACTCCTACCATCTCTTTGCGTTACAGACTGAACTTACTTCAAACATAGTCGGACAAGTAACGAAACTGTGCAGACTGTCGGATCCGGACATTTTTGCTGCAGACTACGATTACCTTCTGTCCTTCTTACGCCAAAAAGGCGAGAATGCCATGCTGCACTATTTTGAACGTGTTTGGTAAGCATCGCCCTTACAGCCAGCTTTCCTTTTTCACGACTCAGCTTCAAGGAGCCCACGCGTGTCTGAGTGGTCAGCGTGTGAAAGGACGAATTCTACTGTGAACACATCAATGCTAATCGAAAGGTTTCACAGGAGGTTGAAACATGAATTTATCGAGAGTAAAGCAAGTATACGCATCGACACTCTCGTAGACATTCTCATAAGCTTAACCTCATGCATGGAAGAGGATCGACAGATAAAAGTGAGTTTCAGTGTGTTTCGCAAATTTGAAGGATATAATTGCAGATGGCTAGAGGGATCCGCGAGGGTCGGCATCGCTTGCAAGAGCAGCATAAATGCCATGCTACTGCAGTTCAGCTGTTTTGCAGTGGAAAGGCGAACACTATTGTTGAAAGTAGCGGGCACTGGTCGGTGTCTGTGAGCGGTTGTCTCTATCATGTACAGCAAAGAGAATGTCCTTGCGACAGCATTGTTAGTTTAAGCTCCTCAGATGAAAGTGTGTCTTTGAGATTAAAATTTCAGTTGAACAATCATTGTTATAAGTGCAA